ACCCTTCTTTCCACCTCGACCGTTTCCCCCAGCCCTGAATCCATCAGATCCCTGCAAGGGCAGCTAGTGTCTGGGGACACCGGTGGTGGGGGAGTGGGGGTGGGGTGGACTCCGTCTGCCTGTGTGTGCTCCTCCGGTGCCGTTTGGGTGGTCCCCCTTTGACTGAGAAACCTTGGGGTCCCCCAGGCCCCCCGGGCTGCCCTGCACGATGGGTGGGAGCACACTTCCTCATCAGGAAGGAAATCAAGGCTCAGCCCCCGTTTCCTAGCAGGGAGCACCAGGCAGACGGCCCACCACTGCCCCAGCCCGGGAGCCGCCTTCTTGGTCCTTTTTGGGAAAGCGTCTCAGGGCAGATTCCGGGACACCGACAATGACCAGCGAAGCCGCATGACATGGCCCCGTCATGATGGGGGTGGGTGCCAAGCCCAACCTGAGAAAGTTCTAGGCCAAGGGCACTGCTCCAGAAGGCTGCTGAGCTCGCCCAGCATGGCAGAGGGACTTGCAGTCCTTCTTTCCAGGCACACATCTCTAGCGAGGCTCTTTCCGCTGAAGAACAGCAATGTGTGTGTGTGTGTGTGTGTGTGTGTGTGTGTGTGTGTGTACTGGGAATTGAACTCAGGGTTATTTTACCTCTGAGCCACACCCCCAATGCTTTTTATTTTTTATTTTGAGACAGGGTCTTTCTAAGTAACTGAGGCCAGCCTCAAACTTGTGTTCCTCCTGCCTCAGTCTCCCAAGTTGCTAGATGTGGAAAGCACGCTGTGCCCAGCTCTGAGTTACTCTTCCATGTATGGAACAGCCGATTTCAAACTGTCCTAAACCTTTGTCGCTCCGTAGTTTGCTGTGAGCTGATCCATGCTGAGTTGAAGTACTGAGGTGGTACTTTGTCAAAACCATCTGCCTGTCAAAACCAGAAGACACAAGGTACAAGGTACAATCAATCAATCATGCTAATAAGAATGACCACCCGGGACAGCCAGGCACAGTGGCACACACCTGCAATCTGAGGAACTCAGGAGGCTGAGGTAGGCGTATTACAAGTTCAAGGTCAGCCTGGACAACTTAGCAAGACCCTGCCTCAAAATTAAAACATAAAGAATGAAAATCCATGACCTTATCAGCTTAATCAGAAGCACCCAGCGGCACTGGCACATCAAACTCCTATTAGGAAAACCAGGCCCACGAGTCTATCGAACACAACTGACCACTGAATGAAACAACCCTGTTACTTGAGGCCCATAAAATTAGGGGCACCCCAAGATTGAACACAGCAGCACCCTGACCCAGTCACCTGGTCACTCATCATTAGTCTTCCCTAGGAAAACAGCCACAGCAATGGACCTCTGAATCTCTATCCTCAGTTTCTCCTGCACCTGACAATCATGGAAGTCCCACTCCAAGCTGACCTCTCAAGCTCACTCCAAACTGAACCATTAAATTACCATCAATCAGGATCTTTGCCTAGAATAATTCCCGTACTTTGACCCCTCTGTGCCCTGAACAAGTTCTTCTGGCTGGAAGCTGGAAGCACTGCCCACCTACAGTGACTCTGCTTCCACGCCCGCTCCCTGCCCGGGCTCTCTGCCCAGCCTCCTGCGCCCCGGTGCTGCCTTGCCCTCTCCTAACCTTTCTGTGCGTTATGTATAGCGTGCAGCGTGACGCGTGACCTGGGTGTTAGAGACCTTAGAATTTAAGATGGGAATAAAAGAACCTGTGATTGTCCTGCTGGTGACAGCTGGGTCACCCATGAGTAGCCTGTGAATTTAGTGCTATTCAATAAATTCTGACATTTTGGAAAGACACAAATGTGTTTGGTCTACGTTAATGACACAGCTCGCTCGTGACACTGGGATTATAGGCGTGTGCCACCGCACCCACCTAAGAACAGCAATTTCTTGTCACTGGTGCGTGTCCGCAGACCCTCCACTGTGAGTGTAGATGGCGGTGGCTGCCTGGAGGGTCCATTTCTGCTCAGGGTCTTTCAAATACTGAAGTAAATCCACACGTGGAAGAACTTCCCGCTGTCGCAGTGAAGCCAACACAGCAGGCAGAGCTCTCTACCCAGTGGCCACCCGAGCTCCTAGCACCAGCTGTTGACCTCTCTCCAAGGGGCCTAGGGCTCCTCAGATTCTGCTTTGGGGTTCCCTGTGGCCCAAGATCCCCACTTGGTCCCACTACTCATGGAGCCCTGGCAGGCGATGTCTCCCCACTCCGGCAGGGCACTGTTTCTGCTGTGGTCACTTCGGGTCTAGATTCCCAGCAAGTGCGGGGAGGGCGTGGAGAGGGGGAACGGGCAGCAGGGCACACGGTCCCCCCTGGGAGGTAAAGCTGCTCTGGAGGTCGATGTCTGAAGATCCTGAATTTGAGGCCAGCCTGGGCAACTAAGCAAGACTTTGTCTCAAAATTAAACGTAGTAAAGGCCAGGGGAAGGTAGCTCGGAGGCAGAACATTCCTGGGTTCAATCACCAGTCCCACAATAAAGGCAGGGAGAAAAGAGAGGGGGCTGGGCTGTAGCTCTGCGGCAGAGCTCTCGCTGGCCCTGCACGTGTGAGGCACTGTGTCTGACCCTCAGCACCACATAAAATAAACAAATAAAATAAAGGCAAGCTGCCCATCTACAACTAATTTTTTTTTTTTTTTTTATTTTAGAGACAGAGAGGTAATGGGGAAGGGGAGGAAGGGAAGGGATACTTCTTAGGGTCTTTCCACACCCCAGTTCACTGAATTAACCTCAGGGCAGCAAGCTAAAGGGCACAGAGTGACCCTGGGGCTTGAATTCCTGCTATTTCCTACCTGATTCCCTCTGCTGACCCCCGACCCACTGCCTCCTGGGATTAGCTTTATCTCCCCAGCCTCTTCCTTCACCCAGGGCATGTGGGGCAGGGGAGATTCCATCTGCAGACTGACCTTGCTTGACCACCTGCTATCTTGAGACAGTGCACAGAAATCTGATGGCCCTCAGGGCCGGATAGGTGGTATGAGCCAGACTGGGTGAGCCCAGGAGTGGAGAGGTGGGGGACTTGCTGTGCTTCTGCATAGGGATGGGTCCACGAAAACCCAAGGAGCCAGGCTCCCACACATCCCACCCACCCCACCCTCAGCGACCCATGTACCTAATTGCCATTCATTTCCCCATTCTGTGTTTGACCTACGCACAGAACACATAATCCCATGTGACAAACTGTCTCAATTGACCAGCCTGCACTGGTGAACACCCCGCAGACTTCGGGCAGCTCCCCTGGTTACCACCTCCTTGAGCCCTTGTGGTTCTGGGGCATTGTGGGGGGTGAGCCAAGCATCAATGATAAAATTGTTACCAGCAGCTGTGTGTCGTGAGGTTCATCATGTAGGGGACACTGGCCTGCACGCTTCCCATGCGTCATCTCACATAACTGCACTGGCAGGAAATTGAGGTCTCAAGGGGATAAGTCACCTGTCCCTAGAGACAGACAGGAAGTATAGGTCCCTGACCCCAATCCTGCTCTAGTCCCCAAACCTGAGCTCACAACCCCTTCCCAGGGACAGCTGTGTCCACCCTTCCCCTGGCACCTGAGGAGATCCCACAGCACTGGGGTGAGCGGCCAGGTAGGCCATTCTCAGCAGGGCCTCCCCCTTCTGCAAGGCCACACGCTGCAAGGCAAACAGGGAGACTCCCAAAGCCTAGACGGCGAAACAAAGTGGGGATGGGTAGCCAGGGCAAAGCCGTGGTGAAGGGGACAGGGGCTGCAGGGACCGGGAGCCGTGGGTAGCTCTCAGTGGCAGGCAGCCAGGCCAGGGGACCTGCAGCTGCAGGCCAGGCTTTCCTCCTTGTCCAGTGCTTCAGAACCTGTCATCCAGTGTCCTCCCCTGGATTCTGCCTGGAAGGCTTTCACATTCCCTGATGAGAGCTTACCACACCCTGGAAATTCCCTTGTACCTTAAATTTTTATTCCCCTTCCAAGAAGCTCTTGAGCCTTAAGGAAAGGGTTGAAGAGACTCTTCACCCAGCCTCATAGGTTTGGGACCAGTGAGGGCACTCTGCCGTCCCTGTGTGCCTCTGGGCAGGAAGGTAGCTTCCTGTCATTGCTATCTCTGGGAGAAGGGACAGCCTCGGAACCAGGAGGCCTCCTGGCTACTAACCATGGGACCTCACTTACCTGACTTTGTCCTCTTTGCACCTCCATTTATTTTCTATAAGGTACAGGTAGCCCCTAAAGGAAGTGAGCTATTCATGCCATATTGTGACCACTGAATGAATGTCATCGGCATTGAGGGGACACCTGAATTCCTCCATTTCAATTCTATGAGCACTTTGAAATTTTACTACATGCTCAGCTCTAGGAACCCATCAAGGAACAAGACCGAACAGACATCTGGCCAACGGCAGGCCAGGCTTTCCTGAGAAGGATTCTCCAAGTCAACTGGATGGGACATCACCCCAGAGCCTGGGCCTGAGCCAAGATGTCCACTCCCCAAGAGGAGGTGGTCCTGGCACACAAGAAAATTAATAAAGACTTGGGGACAAAAAGGATTTTACGTGAAATATTTATTAATGGATGGAAAGAAAAGAAACTGGGCCCAGGCAAACAGGCCTTCTCTTGGTGGTGGGGGGTGGGAGTGGAGAAGGAGCTGGGCCTGGGCGGGGGCGGCCTCCTCTCCAGGTTAGCCAGGGGGCTCTGCTCCCAGCCCCGGGCCCTCTTTCCTCGCAGGCCCAGGCCCGGGGCTGGACTGCTGGGCCCCGAGGGGAGCCGGGAGAGGACGGCCACCCCGGCGGGCCCCCGCCCCCAGGGCGAGTCTGAATGGGGCCGCAGGGAGGCGCCGCGGCGAGGGGCGGCCCGTGGGCGTGGAGGTGGGCGGGTGTCCCGGTTTCCCACGTGTCCTGGAGAGGCGACCCCGGGAGCCCCGCGGAGGAGTCGTGCACCGCGGCGGAGGTGACCCTCGCGGGCTCCGAGGTCCGCTCTCCGCCCGGCGCGCCTCGGGGAGCGGGTCGCCCTCCCTGCGGCCGAGGCCCGAAGGGGTTAACGCACCTGGGCCGCCGCCCCGGCCCCTCCTCCCGCCGCCCGGAAGACGAAAGCGGCGGTGGGGGCGCGGCCGTCCTCGCCCGCCCGCCGCAGTCCCCAGCCGCTGCGCCCGGAGCTGCGACCCGCGCGCCCCGCTCCGCCGCCCCGGCCCGGGCCGCCATGTCTCTGTGGTGAGTGGGGCCCTGGCAGGGCGCGGGGGCCGGGGCTCGCCGTCCCCCCGCGGCGCCGACGCCTGGCGATGCCCGCCGGCTGCCCGGGCGGGACTCAGTTTCCCCGACGGGCGCGCGGCGGTGGCAGGAGATGCCGGGCCGTGCGCGGCGCCCGAACGGCAGGTGGGGGGCGGGGGGCGCGGGGCGAGCCATATCCCCACCATATCCCACCGAGCCACATCCCCAGTCCCGCCGCCCGGCAGCCGCCCCCAAGCCCCGTCCCCACGCTGCCGGCTCGCAGAGCGCTGCGGGCCTCCCGCGCCCGCGACCCCCGCCCCGTGCGGCGGCCTCCTCCCGGCCACAGCCCCGGCCGCCCGCCGCGACCCCTGCTCCTGCCCCTCCCGAGCTTCTCATCAGCGCAGCGGCTGGCGCAGGTGGAGCGCCCCTGCCTGGCGGCCCAGGTGCTGACCTCCCCCTCCSGACTCCGGTCCCGAGTACCGGGCTTCTCCGGAGCCCACAGGGCTGGAAGACCCCTGGATCCAGGGTGCTCGGCGCCCCTCGCGGGGAGGGGCAGGCCTCGGGTCTCATCACCCTGCCCCCGCACTTTGAGGTGACCCTGTTTTCCACCAACCTGGTGTCCAGGAAACCGTGGGGCTCCATGGGGAAAACTCGCCCTGTGGGGTTCAGCCTTAACCCCCTGGCCCTGAGGACACCCTGGGCACCTCCACTGGCTCCTTGTCTCTCCCTGCACTTCCTGCTGAGAAGGTCAGCGCCATCTCCCTGCTGGGCCAGCCCTGGAAGGCCACCCTGCCAACCCACCTATCCCCAAGCCCTCCGCTTCCATGTGCCACAGGGAAGAGTGGGCAGACCTCCTGGCATCTGTGTGCTGCACTGTGGGTACTGGGGAGCAGGGCCCAAGCCCTAAAGAGTGGGTGGCTGCTGGTGAAGAGCTCTGATTTTGGCTCCAGAAATGGGTGTGGTGAGGTTCCTGGCTCTGAATGTTTTCCCCTCCCAGGAGAAGAGCTGGGGACCTCATCGCTCCCCATGATGTAAAGGTAGGGGTAGGGGGTAGGGGTCATGCAGCTTTCAGGCCTCTTGTCAACCATAGGGTTGTTCTTTTTTTCTTTTCTTTTTTTCTTTGGTACCATGAATTGAACCCGGGGTGCTTAACCACCGAGCCATATCCCCAGGCCTTTTTCATTGGGTTTCATTGAGTTGCTTAGGGGCTCCCTATGTTGCTGAGGCTGGCTTTGAGCTCAAGATCCTTCTGCCTCAGCCTCCTGAGCTGCTGGGATGTCAGGCGTGTGCCTCTGTGCCTGGCTAAGAGCTGTCCTTTTCTGTTGGTTCAGTAGCAATAGCAACTCTCCAGTGCGCCCCACAGTGTGATTGGGCTCCTAGGCTGCAGAGAGGGTGCCATCTCTGCCCCTCCCAGTGACCCTGGCTCAGAGTCAAAAAACCATGCTTCTGTTGCTCCTGGGGCTACACCAGGAAATGAAAGCTCCTGGGCAGGGGGACAGGGCCTCTTACCTGTCATCTCACCAGGTGGTCCTCCAGGAAGATGGCAGCACTTCACTGACCCCATGCCAAGCCCTCCTTTCCTGTGTTCTGTCCCACTTGGGGGAAGTAGAAGTGTGGCTTGGAGAGGTTAAGTGAACCCACATGTACCTTGGAGGTCAAGGTGGGAACCCCCAGTGCTCCTTGGGTAGGGTGGTAAGCTTGGGAAAGGAAGCAGGACTATTCCCTGACCTTTGGGCCCGGAACCCACTGGGGCTGCCAGGAGAACAGCAGCTCAGCTCTCCTCCTTCCCTCCCCCCAGGAAGAGAACCCTCTACAGGAGCGCATGCCTGGCTCTGGCTCTCCTCGTGGCTGTCACGGTATTCCAGCGCAGTCTGACTCCTGGTCAGTTTCTGCAGGAGCCTCCTCCCCCCACGCTGGGGTCACCAAAGGCCCAGAAGCTGAGTGGAAACCTGGTGAACCCTAAGAGCTTTTGGAAGAGCCCCAAGGATGTGGTGGACCCCACCCCTACGGCCTCCCAGGGGCCCCAAACCTGGGACGTGACCACCACTAACTGCTCGGCCAACGTCAACCTGACCCATCAGCCCTGGTTCCAGGGCCTGGAGCCACACTTCCGGCAGTTCCTGTTCTATCGTCACTGCCGGTACTTCCCGATGCTGATGAACCACCCCGAGAAGTGTGGCGGTGACGTCTACCTGCTGGTGGTCGTCAAGTCCGTCATTACCCAGCATGACCGCCGCGAGGCCATCCGCCAGACCTGGGGCCGCGAGTGGGAGTCTGCTGGCAGGGGCCGAGGCGCTGTGCGCACCCTCTTCCTGCTGGGCACGGCCTCCAAACAGGAGGAGCGGACCCACTACCAGCAGCTGCTGTCCTACGAGGACCGTCTCTACCGTGACATCCTGCAGTGGGACTTCCTTGACAGCTTCTTCAACCTCACCCTCAAGGAGATCCACTTCCTCAAGTGGCTGGACATCTACTGCCCCAACATCCCCTTCATCTTCAAGGGTGACGATGACGTCTTCGTGAACCCCACCAACCTGCTGGAGTTTCTGGCTGACCGGCAGCCACAGGAAAACCTGTTTGTGGGTGACGTCCTGCAGCGCGCGCGGCCCATCCGCAGGAAGGACAACAAGTACTACATCCCCCCCATCCTGTACAGCAAGGCCAGCTACCCGCCCTATGCTGGCGGTGGGGGCTTCCTCATGGCCGGCAGGCTGGCCCGCCGCCTGCACCACGCCTGTGACACCCTGGAACTCTACCCCATTGATGACGTCTTCCTGGGCATGTGCCTGGAGGTGCTGGGCGTGCAGCCCACAGCCCACAAGGGCTTCAAGACCTTCGGCATCTCCCAGAACCGCAGCAGCCGCATGAACAAGGAACCCTGCTTTTTCCGCTCCATGCTGGTGGTGCACAAGCTGCTGCCCGCAGAGCTGCTGGCCATGTGGGGGCTGGTGCATGGCAACCTCACCTGCTCCCGGAAGCTCCAGGTGCTCTGACGCTGCAGGCCACTAGGGCATGTGCTCAGTCCCCAGAGTGCTGGGGCTGGAACTGCAGTGCCCGGGCATGGCCTTTGATTCCCTGCTGGAGGTGAAGGGTTTGGGCATTCTGTGCCCCTAGGTGCAGGGACCAGAGGGGGATCCCAGAAGTTCTCAGAAAGCAAGGCCCAGGAACGCTGGAGCTTCCCAGACTGGAAGTGATCCGAGGAGCTGGGACCCTCCTAGTGTGGCCTGTGAGAGGCCCTGGTGGCCTCTGAGGGAACCCTGTGCTTGGGTGTCTGGGCTGGGCCTAGCCCCGGTTGGTCTGCGGCTGCCCCTTGCCTTCACAGAGAATCTCTCTGTGAATTGCCTCTGTCTCCCCAGGGCCAGATGGCCTTGCAGGAGAAGCTCAGCCCTGTGCAGGCTCACAGGTGCCCCACAGTCCACAACTTGGTGTCTTCTAGGACAAGAGCCCCAGAAGGCTCCAGCACGGCCCAGGGCTGCCTGGAGCCTGTGCCTCTGCTCCAGGGGCCTCTGCTCCTGGCTGCGTCCTCTCACGGCCAGGAGTGTGACCAGCCACTCTGTCTACCTCAGCGCTCCTCCAGACCTCGGCGTGGGTTGCAGCCCACCCAACCCTGACGCAGGGCAGAAGCACAGCGCTCCTGGCCCCCAAGTCCCGGTGCTGTCTGACCCTAGCCCGAGCCCCGGTCCCTCTGGCAGCCCCACTGAGGCTGGTTCCCTGGCCAGAAACTAGCTGATTTGGCCCTGGAAATGGACAGTCCTCGATTACTGTGAAGTTTTATTTATGAAGAATTTGGAGGAAGAAGGCTCCGGCCTCAGGAGGTGATGGACCCTTCTCCCTCTCCTGCCTGCTCCCTCAGCCACTTTTACCCCCAGCTGAGCACCCCCCCCTTCACAGCCCTCTCCAGATACCTCCCCACCACACCCTGCTCTTTCAGGGCCTGAGCAGACCAGCATGGGCCCTGTGAAGGGATGGACCAGGCCGTGGGGGTGGATAGCGAAAGGTTGCACCCCTGCCTCAGGGTGGGGTCACCTGGTTAAGATGGGGGATTGTCTATTTTCTCAATAAAACGGGACTGTTTTTTTTCTGGTGTGAAATCTGTTGCCAGCTCCGTCCGAGAGCCTTTCTGGGACCAAGGTTGCCAGAGGTTTCTGAGACAGCTAGTTCCTTATTGGCCTTGGCTGGTGGGTGCACAAGGACCCCCAGAAGAGCCCTGGAGGAAGGTGCCCACTGGGATTAAAGTGGGGGTGTGGCGGTCAGCAGGCGAGACCCCTGTGAGCTGTGGGCCCAGCTGTTTCAGGCGTCAGGGTGAACAGCTGAAGCGCTGGCCCAGGGCTGAGCCTGAGATCAGAATTTCAGTGGCTGAGATTGGGCAGGTGTCGACCAAAACCAGTGGCCTCTCTTCCTGTCTCCTGGAAGCACTGAACCCGGTTCAGTGTGGTTCAGGGCTAGAGTTGGGGTGACTGCCCTGTGCATGTTCCTTGGCCTGACCTGCTGCCTTCAGGGAGGGAGGGCAGCTACCCAGGAGAGGCCCACCAGGACCGTAGCAGAGAGCAAGCTGGCGGCTGCCTGCCTGGGCCAGCTCGGGAGCACCCCACAGGGGCCAGAGGGATGCCTACTGTGGGCCCAGTCATCCATATCCAAGCCCCTGGGAAGGAAGAGAGCACAGGGTGCTGCTGTTCCTCCCTCTACCACACAGGTCTTCCCATCTCCCTCGACTGTTTTCCCATCAACCACCTACTTTTTGTTCATGATTGAACCCGGTGGCACTTTACCACTGAGCTCCACACCCACTCTGTTTTTACATTTTGAGACCGGGGCTCACTAAATTGCTTCTGGCCTTGCTAATTGCTGAGGCTGGCCTCTGACTTGCTCTTGTTCCCTCTTGTCTCAGTCTCCAGACTCAACTGTGATTACAGGTGTGCGCCACCATGCCCAGCTTCAGCTACATTATTTCAGAGCAAAAAAGTTATTAAGAATTATTGCGACAGCAGATCATTAAACCAAATGCAGGGCCCTTTTGAGAAGCCCAGCCCTGCTGTGGACTGCAGGAGGCCCTGAGTCAATAGTCCAGTCAGGGGGAGGCAGCAGAGAGGGTGGAAGGGCCATAGTACCCAGGGGCCAGTGTGCAGGCCTGTGGGCAGCTGAGGGGCCCACTTAATCAAAGGGCCAAGGGAGGCAGGCAGATAACTCTGGTGCTGGGGAGGCAGGCAGGGCACATTCTCTGGCCTCTCAGATACAGGGAGGTGTCTAGACTTGATCTTGAGAGCAGAGGGCCCAGGTGCCTGGGGGTAGGGCTATCTTCAGGAACCGAAGAGACCAACAGGCTTGGGGCCTCTGCAGCTGTCTCCTGGGCTCATTCTGCATGACCCTGACTGGGCCCCATTGACTGGAAGCTCTAGGTGGGGTGACTGCCTTTTTCCCGTGGATCCTAATGATGATGAGGCCACCTCACGGCCACTCAGTGCTCTGGCTGTCCTCAGCCTCTGCCTGGCCAGATGTGGGGCCTCACCACACTCTTCCTGGCAGGCCAGTGGGGAGTCCTGCATCAGCATAGCAGAAGGGCAGAGGACCTGCCTGGGGTGGGCTGGGGGGTGAGAGCGGGCACCGCCTGGGCTGGCAGTGCACCTGTCTTGAAGGAGGTGTGGATTTCTGTCTGTCATGGAGGGACAGTCCAGTCCAAGCTTCTGGACAAGAGCCCAGAAGTGCAAAACCTTAGGACATGGGCAGGAACCGTGGCTGGGACCAGTGTGGGGGAGGGGTTGGTGAAAGTTAGGGGACTCTCTGCAGGTACTGGGCGCCATCACAGTTTCCCAAGCAAAGCAAAGGAGTCTAGAAATGCATCCTCACCCCCAGTCCCCCACCCAGGGCGTGGTGAGGCAGCCAGCCTCAGGCCTGTTTGGCTTGGCAGGACATACAGGTCAGGATGGGCACATGGCCCCAAACCTCCCCCACTGTCCCCTGGCTCCTCTCCCCCCTAGCAGGGAGGAGCTCCACAAAGCAGGGGCTGGGAGCTGGAAGGAGAATGGCCAGGCACGGCCACCTGGAGCCAGCCTTGGAGGACACCCAGCCCAGATGCCATCCCAGCTGGTCTGGCCCTCCGCCTGCTCCTGATCTGGCCACTCTGCCCAGCTGACCCTGGGAGAGTGTCCTGAGTCCCAGCCTCCTCAGTCCTGACTGTCTCTGAAGACAACGCTGACCTTTGTGAGGTCCACTGCTGATCATTTTGGGAAACAAACACAGGTCATTCTGGAAGATTCAGGCATTTACAGTCTTGCTTCTGTTGTGGGGTCCTAGATGCTGAATCTGACACCCCTATAACAAAGACAGGTTGACAAGAGAAAAGTCTAACAAATCAAAGTCCTGTGTGACACAGTAACCTTCAGAAATTAGGACCCCAAGACCAGGCAGGCCGGCTGTTGTGATGTAATGATCCCCCCTAATTGTAAAATACAGGGAGAAACCCAGCAAGGCCTGTCTGCCCAGATTCCTGGCCTCTGTGTGGCGTTCCTTCCCTCAGGCCAGTGGGGAGCCGAGAGCCCGGAGACGGCATTAGCATAGCAGAAGGGCAGAGGACCTCTGGAATAGGCAGGACCCTCTGGAATGAGGGTCTTCCTGGGACAATGGAGAGAATTCTTATGGCTTGCTTTGGAAGAGGGAGCTCTGCTTCCCCTGACCGGCCTTCAAGGAGAGTAATTCTGGTGTCTGAAGACGTTCAGGGGAGCAGAGGGGACAGACTGCTCCCCCAGGCCTTCAGTCTGCTTTAGTTCAAAGCACTCAGCATGCCACCGAGGCAGCCTTTGGGGTGTCATTTTCTGGGCCCCAACACTGACAATAAGGAAAACAATGGCCACCTTAGGGAGCACATTTGATTCGCCTTACACTGTGGGTAGCATTTACATGAATAATCGAGAAGACTTACGTGACTTCAGGGTACAAATGTGTTCATATTAAGATTTTTCCTCTTTGGTGATTTCACGCCCTCACATGTCCTTGTTGGCAGAACACCCAGTCACCCTCTTGGAGCCCACTCATCCCGAATTGTGTGAGAACTTCAGGGACTTGCTTAGTCCAAAGGGCTTCCTCCGGCAAGTCTGGGCAGGCCCTTCCAGCTGTCCCCCCTCACTCCACACTGTGGCGCTGTCGGACACGGGGCCTGCACAGTCCTGTGGCTTCTCAGGCTGGGCCTGGGCTGCCTAGGCTGCAGGGCAGCCCATGTTTCAGACGCAAAGTGTCCTTCTCTGTCACCCCTACCAGCTCAGTCATCCTTCTCCAAAAAGCAGCACTATGTTTGGGGTACTGGGTCCTGTGGCTCCTGGTCAGCTGCAGCCTGGTAGGTAAAGCCCACAAACACTCAGGTTCCCTCTGTCCTACTGAAGCAACTTCTGAGGTCTTTGGTGACAGTACATCAGCCCCCAACCTGATTGGGGAGAGCAGGGCCTGGTGGAACTGGGAGGGGTAAGGCTATTTCTCACCAAAGGCGCAGGGCTTCATCCAGCAAAGGCCCCCCTTTTCCCCTCCACCAGCTCTGCATTCCAAGGGGCCTCGAAGAGGGCCAGCCTTTGTCAGGCCCCAAAAAGTCCAATTCCGCTCTTCCCCCAGGGCTGGGGTGCCTACTTGGCCACATTTGCATAACTAAAGGAGACCACTCAAAGAATCCTCCCCTTAACAAAGAAAGCCTGTTCCTGGGGACTACTCCCAGCACCTAAGCTGGGGAGCAGGGGGGAAGCTTCTGGAATCTGCCTTCAAAGGAAGAAACGGAGGCCTCCAGAGAAGGATCCCACAGTTACTGTGTGACAGGTCATGCCTGGAACCCTGTGCCCCTCACTCCTGACCCCTTCTCTAACGTCTCCGCAGGGCTTCCATCTTCCTCCTTTTTCCCTTACCAGTAACTTCATAGTAAACATGGATTTGCTGGTTTTGCCCAAATGTCCAAGATGTAATGAAATGTTATGTTCTTACCAGTAACTTAATAGTAAACATGGATTTGCTGGTTTTGC